TCAGTCTTCAAGTATTTTACTACACTTCAGTATGTGATTCTTATTAAGTAGGGGTAATTTTTTAGGATTCTATACTTCACCTAAGTCTCTGAGAACCTGACACCTTGTACTTCTGGAGACTCCAGGTAGGTTGCAGTTTCCTGGTGATTTCACACCTAATTCTTCACCTTAATTCCTAATTCTTTTACAGTTAACATGCATCTTTTCTTCTCCACATGTTTTTGACTAACCCTGCTGACCCACTGAGCATTTTGCTGTCCAATGGTTATGCATTAACTTTGCAATTTCTAGTATTGTATTAGTTAAAAATAAATAGTAATTAAATTTAAGTTTGGGTTAAGTTGTTAGGCCTAATTGTAACCTTATAATGTAAAAGGGCTCCCTATAGTTTTAAGCATAAGCTGAGGTAGATTTTTATCACTAAGAACATTTAAACTATAACTGAATGTATTTAAAGAAAGAGCAACTTGTTCAGTAAACCATTTAAAAAAAAAAGAAGTTTTTCCCCCTGCTGTACCGAAATCATACCGAACCGTGACGTTAAAACCGAGGTACGTACCGAACCATCATATTTGTGTACCGTTACACCCCTAATATATATATATATATATATGACACCTTGTACTTCTGGAGACTCCAGGCAGATTGCAGTTCTGGAAAATGGTGGCGCTGGAGACTAAATGGTTCCTGGTGATTTCACACCTAATTCTTCACCTTAATTCCTAATTCTTTTGCAGTTAACATGCATCTTTTCTTCTCCACATGTTTTTGACTAACCCTGCTGACCCACTGAGCATTTTGCTGTCCAATGGTTTTGCATTAACTTTGCAATTTATAGTATTGTAGTAGTTTTGAATATTTCTCATGGGCATTTAATAATTTTTAGAGTTAAATCTCTTTTTTGGCTCATTCATGAATAATTATATATCAATTATAAATAATTAAATACAAGATTAATAGTAGCTATTGAGATTGATGTCGTTTGGAATTGGTAAAATGTGCTTGGAAAAAAATATGAGCAGAATATCAACTTGCATAATAATTATGCATGCACGGTATTTTTCAAAAAAAGCAAAAAAGGTCTCTAACACTAGCTTGCTCTATTCCTTTTCTATTCTAACAGTTTAAAAGAAAGAGGCGAGGACCAAGGATGAGTGCTTCATAATGTAAGAAACATGTTTTAATGAACCGTCTTGAATCTAATTGCTTACATCTTTTTACGAACAACATTTTAAACAGATGGCAGACTCCATCGGTGTCCATACCCCCTCCATTCAACATCATGTACTCCGGTCTTTCACAAAGACACCTTGTGCTGCGCGTCCACAGCAGGTATATGTAAGTGTGAGAAATTAATCAGGTCCAATCAAACCAAACCTGATCCGATTGGAAAATTAGGCTACATCCCCAACCAGAGAGGCACAATGCTAACATTTCCAAACATTTTATCACAACTACTGAGGACTCAGATCTAGCACTGACAGTTTCAGCTGTTACCGTGCACAGGCTTTAAAATATAAAGCCTTTGTTATGAATAAATATTCTCAGTGTTGTTTGCATAAACAATGTGTTCAACGTTGCAGGGAACAGCACATATTTGTAGGACTATTCAAGCCCGTGTGACGTTACCATAAACAACAGCCTCAACGTATAGGAATAACGTCCAAGTGGAAACACTGGCTTGGAAACTTATCCTTTCCTAAATGGAAACTTTTTTTTACAATGTACCCTGAATAATTTAAACAACTGTTCCACTGGGGTGTAACTGGGGGCTACATACTACTCAAAAACTGCTAACAACTGAGTGTTTTAACTAACAAAACTTACATGTTGAAACAATTCAGTGTGAGAACACACCAAACAGTTTCATTTGTGCTTTAAACTGTTAGTCGTTTGTTGATTTTGGAAACGTTAACTCATTTCTTTTATAGGTCATAATTAGAGGTTTCATTTTCAGAAAACATGCCCTTTCTTGCACAGATAATGGAAGAAAAAGTCTCTAGAAGGGGACACGTTTAGTCCATGTTGTATTGGGAATTTCTCCCAGACCTACAGGAGTCATGGAAAGAAGAAACCAAACATTCTCTCTCTGGCATTGTAAATGAGAAGGTGCTGATGCTGCTCTAAGTTGCCCTCCTCTGTTTTACTCTCTCCTCTCCTCACACAGGCTTTATGTAACCACCTCAGTGACTTCAAACTCAAGGCTCTACAGGAGAGGAAGGGGATCTTGAACTCCCCGTAGAAACAGGGCGTCTGCAAGCATTTCACAGGAAGGAAGTAGGAACAAGAAACGTGACACCAGCATAGCACTGCACCTTCAAGCAAATAAAACCGCATAAAAGGTATTCCACATCCACTTGATCACAGTCTTCCAACAACTGTGATCGCACATGACGTCAAAAACCTGATTTCCTTAAAACTTACTCTTCAGTCAATCACATGCCGGTTCATGCACAGCTCTCTTCCTGAACATCAAGGGCTTTCTCTAGATTTCTGTACCATGACAACTTTACTAATAATGACCTCAAAGTCTTCAACATTTTTCAAGCAAGTTCAGGTGAGTCAGTTATTCAGCAGATTTATGTATAGCCCACTCCTCACAGAGAAAGTTCAGGAATTTGAATATAAATGGTACTGAAAGTGGCTCATGATTTAATACTTGCACAAATAATACACCTTTCCATAACAAATTATGTTACATTGAAAACTGCATGATTCAGAAGCAGCTTTGAGGTGTCCCAAAAACATTAACCTAGAGACATTTGTGGTAAAGATAGAATCTCTGTGTACTATAAAAACCATTTCAATGCAGGCCAGACCTAAAACTGTGATATATTTGCATAAAATGGCTTCAGCATATTGTACATGTGCCCAGCTAATATGGAAGGCTCTCAGAATTTGAACTCAAAGTTATGACCAAATGTTCTTCCAGTAACATTAATAGAACATTTGTTAAAAATTATTTAATAATGTTCCCAAAACATTACCACAAAAACATTATTTATACATCATTCATGGAACTTTTTTCCTGAAATGTTTTAGTTAGATGATCGTCTAATGTTTTTTAAATGTTACTGCTTGTTTCAAATTGTTCAGAGAACAATCAAAAGTAACGTTACCATAATGTTTGCAAAATTATAAAATGGAATGTTCCCTTAACATTTGCAAAACAAAAACCAAAAAATTTGAACACATTTTAAAAAACTGGACATTTTAAACGTCCAGAGAACATTCAGAAATAAAGTTTTTATAACTTAATGGGAATGTTAGCAAAACATCCTTTTTTGTTAGCTGGGTACTGGTTACATCATACTATAGACCAATTTGGAGTAGACGTCACAGTTACGTCACTTGCAGCTGCGCGTGCATTGTGGTGGCAGAAAAACACTGGGATCAAGTGGAGGGAAACAGGTAAAATCCATGGAGAAAGAGAAAAAATATATTGTTGTGCTTTTGGATGTCAGAATCGGAATGGAAATCATTTTTATATAATACTGTTGTCAAAGACGCCATTTGAAGCTGAACGCAGACGTTTAAATGGACAAACTATGGATGAAACGTGCTATGATTACCCTACTTTTAAAGCATAAATTTGATTTAAATAATAGGTCTATATAATATTCACATAGGGGACATATTGTATTAGCCCTACAGTTAAAGCATGAAATATTATTTAAACCTATAACATTTTACATAACATTTAACTGTTTTATATCACAATTCTGACTTTTTTTCTTGCAAGTGCAAGTTTCTCCTAGTTCGGACTTTATAACTTGATTCAACTCAACAATTGCGAGTTTGTCAATTCTGAGGAAAAAATGCCAGAAGTGTGGGATTATAAACTCATGATTCTGAACCGAGGGGAAAAGAGAGAATGACGGGAAAAGAGAGAATGACGAGTTGATTTTTCTTATCAGAAGTGTGAGATATAATCTCGGAATTGCAAGAAAAAAGTTTTGAAATACAAAACTCAAAATTACCTTTTTTATTATTTTATTCCATGGCTTGCACAGACTGCTACGTTAAAACTGGCATTTTCTGCCACCAGATAGACTCCGCCAACAAAGCCAACAAAACTCTGTTTGCAAACACTGAAATTGGTCTATTAAAACAATCTGTGACATATAAAAGCTACAAAAGCTACATTTCTAGACCATAAAGTTGCAAAATGACCTTCTATAAACTGTTGAATTGGTGTGCATCCAGTTAAATATCAAACTAGGTTGAAAATTATTATGTAATCTTAAATCAAAGCATCCATGACATCTGCACGTTTTATGCATAGTTATGGATCCAGAGCATGATCGTTTCATATGATATGACATAAAATGGACTCACACAACCCATATTCCAGTGATGGTCAGAGCTGGGAGGCTGACAGGTAATATCATCCACAGAGACATCTTCAGCACACGGTCCTCTACTGCTCCCCTCAAAACATCCACTTCTTTCGCCTTCGCCAGCCTGTCTCCCTG